GTGAGTTTGATTCTAACTCATCTCCTTCATATTTAATGAGTCAGAGGGAAGTGCCTTTCAAACAGCCTCTTCACAAGAACTGTACTTTGTGGAACAGACTCCCAAGATCACTGCAATTTTAACCTCTTCCAGTTTAAGGTTAACCATTATTCCTCCTACATAATCTAATCTCATAAACTGCATTTCTTACCTCTTCCAATCATACAAAAATATTGTTCATTAACCTTCTACCTTGAGTGGCTTTTGAGCCTTGTATTAGGTGAACATTAGTAAAAAAAATAAAAAAAAGACAAAACAAACCCTGGATGCCACTGCATGACAGGCCAAGATAAGCTTAAATGTCAACAAATGAATTCCAGTATCCACTAGATCACTGAAGTTAAGCAACAATGAGCCTGTTCAGTATTTAAAAACAGCAGTTATTATTAACCAGTGGTCTTAAAACTTTAAAAGGCATTTCAATCATTCAACATGTTTCAGTGGGGTGGTCATACATCTGCATATGATCAGTAAAATAATAATTGAACATTAGTAATGTAAATCTTTGTCAGAGAAGTTTCATTTTTAGAATTTATATTTTGTAAACAATGAAAGGTTACAAAATGAAACTAAGAAATAGGCAAACCTATCAATAAGAAAAAAAGAAAAGAAGTTTTTTCATGCCAGACAAGCATTAATAAAATACAAAAAATACTAAAAATGAATTTGCATCTGGTATCAAAAAAATGTATAGTGGAACAATGTCTACTAAAAAGTAAAGATGACAAATATAATGAGTAAACTAAAAACATCATACATACATACAGTTTTCTAAAATGAATACCTCATCTAATTCATACAATCTCGGTTAATTTCTGTCTGAATTTCTGGGACAAAGATTTATACTTAATTACACTATTTACATGCAGACTATTGTCCTCATCTTAGTTGTTGATTATCACAATGTTTAGGCTGTTGTGCCTTCCAGACTTCATCAGGTGTACGCCAATCCAAGTGACCTACAGGGAATTTTAAACTGAACCCTTTAATCTACAGTAGTAGACTGTTTTGGTTCCACTGCCCATGTCTATTACTAGTTCTTATTTTTAGTACTGCTCAGTTATTGCCGACCCTGTTTCTACTGACTCCAAGTATACACAGCCCAGGAATTGAACTCAAACGTGGTTCAGTTAAAGAAAATGCCACACATGACAGATATTACAATGGATATCCATTGTATTTTGTCCTAATGATTATCCTGGTTGCAAAGCCAGTTTCTCAGAAACTGGATGTTTAAAGAAATGTTAGAAGAGCTTTCAAACCAATTTCAGTAACCTCAAGATATTCTGCACTTACTTTTTGCCAGAGAGAAACAAAAAGGTGCTGTAGATTAAAGAATCATTTTTTCCCTTTTATTGGCAGCCTTGTGTCAGACACCTTGGTACATATATGCAAACCACATTTTGAGTAGCACTAGAGTAAGCAACTTAAGGATAGTTTGTCTTACTGTGGAGTAGTGGTTAACAAGCAAGTCTTGCAGATCATTATGTTTGTTCAATCTACATTTGAGATCACTTCAATCGTGATCTTTTGTCAGACTTGTAAATACTTACTACTGACTTTTCAATTCTTGTTGGAAATTGACCTTAAAATCCACATGTAAAAAGGCAAAATGCTTTCTTTTTTTTTTGTTTGTTGTTTTAATCATTTCACCCCCAAGAAAGACAAGGGGTTACTGAGTGCAAGAAAAATAAAATAAAACACTTGAGGAGAGAGAATAATAAAAGAACAGGAATTAAGAAAACAGAAGATAACAATTGACATTGCATATAAAATTTTTGAAGATCAAACTTGACTTGGAAAGCAAGAAGTCGGAAGTTCTACAAGCAAGAAGTACAAGAGAAGAAACTAATAGCATAGAAATTACGGTTATCCGTTATATCTAGTCATTTCCACTGTTAAATGGTGAGATCTTGTCGCCAATTTAGCATTACACTTAAATTCATAAAGTCTAGCTATCAGAAGAAAGCTCAACAAACAATTACCATGAAAGTATTTATAGAAAAAGCACAGAGATGTTATGTTAGAACAGTACGGGAGGTGACAAGCCAAGATGCCAGGTCAGGATCAATAACAGATTCTTTTCTTTCTATAAATACTTAAGATTTATTTGAAAACACTTAACTCATTTATGAATTCATTTTCTGTTTAAACCTTAAATAAGCAGACTCTCCAAAATTGTTTTAAATAATTTAATATAAAATCCATTTATTAAGCAGCTAACCAGAGAGTAGTAGAAAAATAACTCTCCCACTAGTCAGGATTGTATGCCCCAGGGGTTGGCTCACCCAGGATATACCTCCCCATTTCACATAAAGGAATAGGGATAATGTCATTTCTGATATTCAAGGTATCCCAAACTGAAAGAGAGAGATGAGCAATTTTATAAATTTCACATGTACATGTGGAAGTCTCACTTTGAAGGCCTCGTGCCATAACCCGTCTACATGAGAGAGAACGTGTAAATATCTATGTAAAAAGTTCGATTTTTCTTACCATAAATAGCCTTTTTTATCAGAGTGAGCTGTTTACTAACTATGGCGTGCCTGTGGTTAACAGCTTGTTTGGTAAACTATTTAATACTGTAGCCTCATTGATGGAAATTTTCCAGAATGGCTTTCTTTCAGACGAAACTAAAATATCGATACACAAGTTTTACAAAGTTGATTGGAAAATATTTAATTGGTAGGGTTGAACAAAAACAAAAAAAAAAAAACAACTGACTGAATTTATTTCACGTCATCTGAATTCTCAGAACTTCCTTTCAAACCAGAGGGCTCAGGTTCAAGTTAATCTAGCTGAATTCAAGTAAATGTCTTAAACACGATACACAATAGGGCACCCAGAAGTGTTGTGAATAAAGTTTTATTTGGTACTTGGAGAAAGAACAAACTTTTTACATCCATTTTTTTTCTACAACCTGCATTAAAAAAAAAAAAAATATCATACGTATAAGATAAAAAATCTTACACTAAATATTTTGGTATCTAATTCTTTGAAAAAGACAATAGAAAAAATTTTAAAATGTTTTGTCAAGCATTTTCGGTAGTGCGAAAAAAAAAAAAAAAAAGCAACAAATTAGTTACACAGCACTTATTTCGATAAACCATATTACTTACGATTACTTATGTAAAAAAAATTAAGAAATATTGGCAATCCAATAAATAATATAACTTAAATGACAGAGCTTTAAAAAGGCAATGTAGAGTGTTTAAGGTTAATTTGCTTAAATAATGCACTGACTATTGTTTGCGCCACATGGCAATCAATAATTGTAAGTAATGATGCACTAAAATAAGTAACTAAATAACCGTTTAAAGTTCTGTACTAAAAAAATTACTTGCTGGGAAGCTAATAAATAATGAAATCATCTTTTAGTTTTTACTTTTTTTTTTTGTTATTGCATAACTTTGGGATACAGCAGCGTTTACTTTAGGCATCATTTTTAGGGGAAAAAAGCATTTTAAAAAAAAGCTATTACTTTTTTTTTTTTTTAATTAGCGTGAAGATTAAATTAAAAACTTTAAAAAAAAGTTTAACCGTAAAGCTTCTGGGAAAATCCATTCTCGGATGTCGGCACAGAGATAAAAATAAATGAAAATATTTTAGACTTGGCGTATTTAAAAATGTAGAAAGAAACAAGACAGAATCATCGTCTATATACTTTGTGAATGATACCAACCAACCCATAGCGGCATTTTTTTTTTTTTTACTATTTACAAGCAGAGACCTACACTATGTATACTGGTTTGCCTATCACATATGTATGTAAGCAAGTAGTGCCAGACTTAAAACTCCTGCCACTGCGTAGGCTGGCTGCTTCCCTTTCATTCATTCACATCTGACACACTTTTTCACAATAAGAGTCTAACAATGACACAACAGATTACCGAATTATTCACACACACGGTAATTTTTAAAAGATGAAAATGAAATCAATTGCATTTTTGGTTATATTCAGTACTTAGTTCGCTCGACTAAATTCAAATCATTACTTAATAATCAAATTCAAATGCAACATTTAAAAGCCATTGCTTATAGAAGCAAATTTTTTAATCTCATTTTAACATTGAGAAAAATTAAAAACGTTTAATTTGAAATTAAAGGCGTAATTTTAAGTTTTAGTGCAGTAGGAGGATTTAGTTTTAGTTGTATTTTTTTTTTTTTTACGGTGGCTAAATTTATTTTTTAACAAGTGCAAAAAAAAAAAAAACACACACACACAAAAAACCCTGCATACAAGTAACATACATTTAAGTTTATCAGACTAAATAAAAAATAAAAGATTGAACAAAAACAAGTGCTGAATTGACCACAGAAAAAATATGGGTCAGTCCTGTCTTAAAACATTTTCTGAAACATCAAATTGAAAATCGCATGCAAATTAAAGTGTTCAATCAATCGAATGCAACTTCAATTTGGGTTTTTAAAAAAGATACTTTAAATTTACCCGGTAACTGAAAGAATTACGCACACAAATAAAAAGGAGAAAAAAACCCAAAAAACACGGGGTGGGAATGAATACAAGGTAAAGGTTGGGGGGTGTTAACGCCATGTTGGTTGGCTTGGGTCAGGGTTTTTGTTTTAAGAACATCATGCATTAAAGGCGACGCACACGGAGAGAGAAATGATTAGCTAAGAAAAAAAAAGTTACTGAATAAGTAAAATTAAAAAAAAAGAAAACACAAACACCCTGAATCACAATGTAACTTACGGAAAATTCCAAAAAAGGTCGGTTTTACAGCTGGGATAAACTTTTTTTAAAAAAAAAAAAAAAAAAAACAAATGTTTTTAAGTAAAAAACTTTTCTCGGAAAAGTTTGACACTGCTCAAACAATACTTTTCATTTAGGACAGAATTTGATATATATGCGGTTTTTCTTCCCTTTTTTTTAAGCGTTTTAAAAAGAAAAAAAAGTTGTTAAAGAAAAGAAAGTAAAGAAACAAACAACAACAACCTACTTTTCCCAAAATTTTTGAACGAACGAGGTCAGGAAGTTTGTGAGTGTAACTTTGTAATAGATTGAGAAAGAAGAAAAGTGTTTTGTCCACTGGGTTTTTTTTAAAAAAAAGCAATAAGTCCTGCGTTTGCCTATTTTTTTTTTCCACTTTCTCACTCTAATCTTACTATAGCAAAATTAAAGAAGGAAGAGTGAACTTTTGTTCTATTCTTGTGCGGTGAAAGTGTGTCTGATATGTTGCCGCGATTATTGTTTGGGTGGCTTCAAAATGATGTAGTGTTTAAAAAGCCTTTTCTAAATCACATGTAGGGAAAAAGAAAGGTAGTTGACGTAGTGCAGCAGTCAGTGAGATAGAAAGAAAGACAAAAAGAAAATATACTGCACATAAGTAAAAAAAAAAGAAAACTAAAAAAAAAAAACAAATCTACGGTACCTAAGATTTAGAAACGAATTTGCTTCTTTCAACTAATTAATCGGGAAAGTTGAGTGTGCCCCAAAGCGCTGACAAAAGGAAAGCGCTAATTGGCTAGTTTTGTTTACAAATACCAAGGAGGCGGGGCTTGTATAGTCTCTCCGATGGTAGGCGACTTTTGATTAGTCAAAATTTATTTACAAATAACTACAACTAACGAAGACAGGGAGTAAAAAATCGACGGAAAAAAAACAAAAAACAAAACAAACAATGTTTGTCTTTTTCTTTCTTTTTCTTCACCAAAACTGTTTAGTTTAGAGGACTACAATGCTTTTTCGTGAAATAATCTCATGGCTTTCGAAATAAATCAACTTCAAACTTAATTTTGTACAATTTAAAAAAGTACAAAGATTTTGTTGTTTGAAACAATTGGTGCAGAAACGTACACTGCACACACAGTTTGTATTTTACATTTACTAAATAAGCTTCTTTAATAATTCTTAACTTAGGTTTTTTTTGTAAATAACTATTTTTATAAAGATTCAAAGTTCGTATTCCTAGTCAAATAATTCTTGCATTTTCTTTTTTTAGCAATTATAGAAAAAAATAAATATATTCCGTTATTTCAACTAATTTAAAAACTAACTTGATTCGATTAGAAAAAAAAACTAAAAACATTGTCATTTTAAATCCAGTCAACTCAACGTCTGTTCTTAAAATAAGATTTTGATATAATTCAGTGCGAATAAACGCTTCTCAACGCACTCCAAGGGCGTTGAGATATGCATACTCCACTACTTCCCTGCTATCTTTATATTTTAACTAATTTTCTGTACGAATTATTTCTGGGGATAAAGAATATATTGACAGTTAAACTTGAATTTATGCAAATTTTAACATAAAACTTAATAAAGTTTCAATGTTTTTTCTTGTATGTGCCGTTTCCCTTCACGATGTGGGTGATCATGGCTCTCCACAACTTCCCACCTCTTGTAGCATTAAGCAATGTTTGACCCTTTACTATCCCTCCCTGTTTATATTCTACCATCTATACACAAATTCTTTAGGTAGTTTACTCATTTCTCCTTCTCTTACTTTCAATATGTCCAGTGAGGAGAGTGACATTCCTTTAAGTCATCTTTCCTTAATATGTGTCCCAGAAATTTTAAATGTTTCTTTATGATTCTAAGCAAAAGTTTCCTTTTCATTCACATTTTCCTTAAAACTTTCTTGATACTCACATGTTCTGTTAATGGTATTCACAGTGCCCATTTGCAGAACCATATCTTCATTGCCTGAAGTCTCCTTTGGATCTGCAAGAAAACAGTCCAACAATCACTGCTATGTTGGAGGATTGATATTATGTAACAGCTGAGAGCTCTTATCTTCGGTTCTAACAAAAGTTACCTTCTTAATATTTTGTTTAGATTTTAGAAAGCATTATTCACCATTATGAATCTTTGTATTCCCATGGTCTTCCCAGATATTTAGAAGTTATAAAAATGATTGCCACATCATACAAAAAGTATAAAGTGTACTGGCCTGTTTTGGAAATAAATATTTGACATCCTGGCTTTTATTTGGCCTCCAAGACTAACCTTCAAAGAAAATATAGATAGTAAATATTGGTCAGATAACTAAATGAATACATCCACAGCCAAATTAGAAAAAAAGCATTCATTTAAACACCCAAGACTGACCTTCAAAGAAAATATGGTAAGTATTGGTCAGATAAGTAAATGAATACATCCAGAGCCGAATTAAGAAAGAAGCATTTATTTAACCCCTAAGACGAACCTTCAAAGAAAATATGGTATGTATTGGTCAGATAAGTAAATGAATACATCCCCAGCTGAATGAGGAAAGAAGCATTTATTTTATGAAACAAATATTTATCAACATAATCTCCTCCTTTGTCAAAGCATTTAATTCAGTTGTAAATATTAATCAAATGAATCAATTATTATACAGTGAAAATTTCACATAAAAATTCAGCTAATGTATGGACTTATTGATCCACACTTGTTTGTGTCACTTAGTGTTGTTTGATCTCATTATTATGGTAACAGTCTTTGACATTAGTTTTCTAAACAATGTATCTTTGTTATTTATTAATAGTAACTTAATAAATATGGTATATGGTAACAGTATATGGAGTACCCAATGAGGGTACTGACAGAGATGATAGTGTTATGATACATATAATTTGGAAAAATCTTGGAAGGTCATAATTATGCAATTTTATCATTTGCTATAAAGTGCTTCTATATTTGAGGTCATTTGAATTTCATTAGAATATGGAGACAAAGTCAAGAGAACGATAATCTTTTTTTTGCCCAAAATAAGGTTTGTATCTATTTTGTAATGTCATGAAATTGCAGTTTTGATTGTGTGATCTCGTAATTGACAACTATATTGTCACCATGTCTACTTGTATACAGTCATATGCTTTTAACGTCATTACTTTCATTGTTTGTTTCTAGTTCTCCTTAGTTTTATCTCCCTTGTCCAACAATAAGGACATAGCTATTCTATTGAATTGATATACATTTATACATCACAACTGAACTTACCACCCATTTTTAGAGGTTCCTAAAGTTTTGTGGGCCTTTAGGAATCTCTTTGCACCATTCTTAAATGGAGAACAATGGCGTGGTTTGGATACGTTACAAAACACAACAGGCTGTGCAAGACCATCATGCAAAGCAATGTTAAAGGTGGACGTAAGAGAGGATGTCAACACAAAAAATTGGTTGGACAAAAAAAATTGCTAATGGCTACCATTGAGAGACCATTGTGGAGGAGGTTCAGTGTGGCTTCTGCATTTGGATCTCCATACAATTACAAAAGTCAAGTGGATGATGATGATGATGATGATGATGATGATGATGACGATGAAAATTTTTATAACATACCATCTAAATATGCAAGTAAAAACATCTTGAATTTCAACATTTTTGGGAATATCTACACACACACACACACACACACACATATATATATATATATATATATATGAAGAGGGTTATGTCGGGCCTGACATACAGTGTTTTGTGATTATAGCACCATCTCTCATAATATATGTCATCATACGGTGGTATATGAGAGAGATGGCGTTGTTTCTTCACCGGCTGTATGCCATATTAGATTGTGCTACATTTGCTATGTCTTGTTTGTGTCGTTTTGGGGGGAATTTTTGCCCTTCATTATGGCTCTCAAGCATAAGGCAGATTCATGGGTTCTTATGTAGGTGAGTTTTGACTGATGTCAAAAATCAAGTTATCTTGCACCATAGGAATGGATATCTGACATAAGTTTAGGACCTTCTGTATAAATATATATATATACCCAAGTCATCAAAAATAATAGTAATTGTTAGAAAGTTTTAAAAGATGCCACAAAAATTTTCCAAAAATGTATGACGATTCAATAAAGCAATGGTCCAGAATTTACAGCTGAAATGACTCCAATGAACCATTTAACATATCCGTTGCCTTTATATTTTTTAAATGGTCAATGGTATCTATGATTCATTGATTACCTTTTGCAAATAGCATGAAACCCAGTGTCACAAACTCACATCAATCCAACTATATATATATATATACATATATATATATATATATATATATATATATATATATATATATATATATATAAAAGCGTTATATATTACATTGATGGATGCAGTTGTAGGTTAACTGCAGTTGGGATTGATTAGACAGTTATTGTTAACTTTATAATTCTGTTGATGACTGCATTGTAATTGCCACACCAGGGCATACTTAGTTTTAAATCTGTCTTGCTATTTAACCCATGACTGGGGCAAGAAGAGATAGACTCATATTCTTTCTAAAGGTATTTGAATGAAAATAAATATTACAAACTCAACTGGAATTTGAACTCAGTTCAGTGATTTCTTGTTCCAATCCACTAAACATTACACGCACCTGTACACACACACACACACACACACACACACACCCACACACACAACACACATATATATATTGTCTATAACCTTGAGAAAAATTATAACGTTCCAAATTTGATTCTGAAAAGTAACTCTTTCTTTGTGCTTTCAATATTGTTACCATATTTCAGCCAATTCAGTCTTCATCAGGAAAATGATATTTATGGGCTTTTCTTTTATTTTATATGCAGATTGTACAGCTGATAACAGCTGAAGAATGGATGTGTTAAAATATGTTAATAATATGAATACAAAAAGAAAAGATTCAGTTCTCTCTAAACAATATTGGGTATGATATGCTGTATTCTTTTTTCATGGAAGAATGTATACAAAATAAGTATGGTGCCTGTAGCAGTAAGAAAGTTGTAAGAGGTAATGGAAATATAATGATTAATCTACAAAGATATACCTATATGGGATACTTGAGATCTATAGAGATATGTATCATTTCAAACTGCGCTAAAAAAATATGAAGTTGTAATCTACAAAAATAATAGTTACTTAAAAATTCATGAATGGAAAATGTCAAAAAAGTTACTTCATTACACACATCTATAGATCCTACCCACACACATATACAGACAGAGAGAAAATAAATCTGCAGGCGAACACATAGAAAAGAAATGTACACATACACAGAAAAAGATGTATGTATACACTGTGTGTGTGTGTGTGTGTGTGTGTGTGCAGACACATACACACACCCATATACACACATGCACCAACAGAGAAATTTTTTTTTTGTCTCTGACTGTAACCAATCATGTTTGGTGTCTGTCTCACTCAGAGGATGAGAAGTGACAAAGTACATGGATGAAGACAATGGTTTCGTTGAGGAAGAATTAAGGGCAACAGAAAGATTTCATTCAAAAAACAAAAAAAAAAAGAAGTCATTTCTAGGTCTTGGTGTACTCTTCTTTCTTTCTTTCTCTATATCTGCCATAAAATCCACCCCCAGCCTGCTCCATTCCCACATGTTGGCCCTACTCTGTATGCCCTAGTTCTTCATTCATGCCCAATCATCAGTTTCACAGACAAAGAAAAAGAAGAGAGACTAGAATAAGAGTTATCATGACAGCTGTAGTGTCATCCTAAGCACCAAATCTCCAAGATTACAATTACTTACCCAGAGTACAGCCAGGGTGGTGCTGTGTCAGGTTTACATTACAATAACTATTTTTTCTCCCTTTCCTCTTCAACTATCAGCCTCTTATTCAACACAGTAGAAGTGAGATTTCATTTGTTTGTGTTTCCTTTCATCTAGTTTTCTTCTTAGGGTGTTGTTCTTACATTACTTTTAACTAGTTTTTATTTCTAAGATTCAAAAATCTTACTGATTAAATAATATTGTCTTTTTCTACTATGAAGGATGTTATTTGTATTGAAGCTTAGGCTAACCATTCACTGCAACTGATTCAATATCAGACATTCTGGACCCCACTTTGATACAGGATCCTGTAGAATAAGCTGAAAGGGCAGGTGTGGGGCTATGCATCTCTTTACTTAACATCCATTCATACTGCACCATGTCTTGAAGGAAACCATCTTCATCCTGTTGAGTAGATAGTGATTTTCATTTTTTGTCTTTTTATAACCTTTTTTGTTTTCCTTTATTTTTTGGGGGTGGGAAGTTCATTTTTTGAATGCTATAAAACTAAATGATAATTCATTTTTTTACACCATTTTAATCTAATTTGAATTTTAGTTGAAATGTAAAGAATAATAGTTTTTGTTAAAATGGTCTTGTAAAGAAATATTACAGCAAAAAATATAACCAATTCTGTTGGGTGAAATTACTTGCTTCTTTTTTAATAGCAGTAGATAGATTTGCCTATCGCCTGGTTTATGCTCCACCTCCATTGTTTGAACAGGAGTAGAGTTGTTCCCTGTTTAGGAATGGGTTTCTGGTTCCTTCCTTTAATGTCTTCTGATTCACTTTCACTCCAAGTAACACCTTGTGTCTTAGTGGCCTTGCTTGAAGTGAAATGATTAAAATAATAATAATAAAAAACACACACAATTTCAGGTCCTTTTTTTGATTTTAATTTAGATTTATTTTCTATTATTATTTAAGTTTTGTAGCCAAAGCAATTTTGACTGATATTTTTTATTGCCTTAATTTTCATCTAGTTAAAAAAATTAATTATGGTGTATGATACTTCATCTAATAAAAACTCAAGATAATTTTACTGGTACTAAATTTACTAGCATATACAAAAACAATAACAGATATGGTAAGTCTGGTCAGTTTGATAAGGTCAAATTGGTAGCTGATCACAAAAATAACCTACAGTTTGTTGTTAACAGGGGACAAGAAACGGCTTGTTAATTTTAAAGCCTCCAAAATAAAACTACTTTCTTTTAATCATCCAAGAAAACCTTTTTTGCCTTCAGTTTAACTGATGCTAACCTCCAAGAGAATGACTCTTTGTACCTTCTCAGGCTAATGTTTTCTGACAACATGAAGTGGAAAGATTATATTGAATCAATTACTATATCTGCTGCTAGGAAAGTTGGTTCACTGTGTTGTGTGAGATAATTCTTTTTTTTTTTTGCCAGAATCTATCTTACACATTTATAAGTCTACTATTCATCCATGCATTGAATATTGCTGCCACACCTGATCTGGTGATTCTGCTGTGTATTTAGAAATTCTTGATAAAATCCAAAGAAGAATCTGCAATGTCATTTCAATTATTTCTTGCTCTGTTTTCACTAAGTTTAAGTCTGTACTTCCCAGCTAGGGATTGAACTCACAATTTCTATGTCACCAAATTAACCAACCAAGACTTTAATCCACTAGATAATTGTTCTATTGGACACTCCTGAGTGTAGAAAGTGAAACCTTAAACTTAATGTTATTCTATATTGTTTGCTACTGTTGCTGCTGTCATGTTTGACTACATTCAATGTTGCTTCTCTTTTCTTAGTGCTGCTGTTGCTATTGAAGCTTTGCTGTCAGTTCTCTATTAATTGCTGTCATGTTGTATTGGTTTCTAACACCCTTAAAAATCTGGAAGTCACAAGAGTTGAAATATTGTGATAGATGATAGGACAACAATCCAAATGTAAATAAAGAAATACTTGTAAAAAATTCAAGATGGTTAAGGTAAGTGTAGTTATGCTCAAAAATCAAGTCTTGCCTAAAAAACAAAGTATTTAATAAATGGTCAGGTATGTTTAATAGAGCAACATATCCACTTCAGCTGGTCAATATAAATCTTTGAATCAATACATGATACAAGAATCCATACAAGATATAAGAATCAATACAAGATACAAGAATTGATACAAGAATTGATAAATGATACAAGAATAAATATAAGATACAAGGATCAATACAAGAACAATTAAATAAAGGAATTTAAAAGCTCATCCGATGTTTATCAGTATACTTTAATTTATCTTAGCTATTGTTTTCATCTTGTTTGTTAGGCTTACACCCATATCATGTGAAACACCAGTTCCTGTATGATCACCCAAGTTAAGCAACGTTGAGCCCGGTGAGTTCTTAGATGTGTGACTGCTTGGGAATACTAGATGCTGTAAGCTTGGATGTGTGGGTGGTGTAATTGATAATGGCTCTTAATTGTTAATGGAGAGCTGAGTTCTAATTCCAGTTGGGTCTTTTATATTCACTTATGGGCAAATACCCCTGAGAAAGGTAGGAATCCACTTCTTATATAGTTAAATTATTATCTCCCCCAAAATATTCTTACAATCTAAAAATATTTTCTGGCTTTAATTAACTTGAAAAGTGTTAATAAACTGTAAAAAACAAATCAGTCATTCAAATTTGTTTGTTACAGATGTTATTATAGATGTTTAGAATAATTAAGATGATAACAACATTTCAAATGAAAAAGTATAAATATATATGTATCAGTGTATAAGAGAGAGGCTTATTCTTGTCAAGGCTAACAGTGTGTATTTTGCTTTTACTGTTGTTTGATCAGTAAAGTAGCTATCGGAAAGTGATTTTGTTTAAGTGTTCACCAATTCTTATTGTTAATAATTCTGACCTTCCAGTGACAAAGATATTTTTGTTAAAATATCTGGTGAGAGGCAAAATCTAGGTATGTTGAATTCAACCCTTTCCAATTGGCAAGCAGTCTCAGTTGTAATTTGAACTCAGTTTGTTGATTCTTCTTTCTTGAGTTGATAACCTTATAATCCTTGAACATCAGGGGTATCAATGAACACATACTACAATAGGCAGTCAATGTTGCCACATCATCACAGGAGAGTGTAAGTCCCTAGCAGGACTAAAAATCTATATCTGCACTGCCCATATTTGAGGATAAATCAAATGATGGCATTACTCGAAAGCACACACACACATGCAAACACACTCATATATATATATATATATATATATATATATAAATATAAAAGTGAACATAGAAGTCAACACTTAGAGACTCTAATTTCTATGTTCACTTTTATATTCACACATACTCTATCTCTGATATTGAGCACTTTATCCCATAAATATAGCACATCTTAGGACTATATTTCTTCATATATATATATATATATATATATATATATATATATATATATATGAGAGATAAATCTATATATAAGACTATAGATTAATATTAATTTTTTAAGGTAAAAATGTATAGAAAGTGAACTAATTTCTGAATCTTTCATAGAAAATTTACACCCAGTATCATACATTACTATCTAAAACTCTTAATGTTCAGAAATTAGCAGGTGATCTCTCATGTCCTGGGTATGATGATAAACTACATCCACCAGCAAGGCCTCTGATCAGGAGACTGGAGGTATTGAGGCGTATAGAACTACCACTTAATTGTTGTTGTTCGCAGGTTCACCCTGACCTGGGGTAGTAGAAACTATTAGGGTCCCAGCTATGGGCAAATAGTGAAATTCCCAAACAAAAACAAAACACTATGGAAGTATGAAAATACATTTTTATAGTAAAATTACCAACAACACATTTTTAAGGCAGAATTACGAACAATACATTTTATAGTAAAATGACCAAGAATAAATTTTATCTGTTGCTGAAGCCATAAAATTGTGTTCAAAATATTTAGATTTCAGTATTAAGTAACCCATAGAGGTGTTGATATGTTAAACAAAATCAACAATCAACAACCAGCTGATCTTTCATTGGATCTAGCACTAACTTTCCAGCTAGTTACATTCAATGCCTCAAAAAACGAACTAGTTGCATTCCATCATTGCCAACTTGACTCTGAAATACCACCGGTCACAATAAATGGATGTCCTCTTTGGGAGGCTTCATGCCTTGAAAGACTATTGGACCTTAAACATAGCTCTGACATCAAGTGGAACTCTTATATATGCTAAAGTGGCAGGAAAAATGGTGGCTTTCAATACCATTCCAGTAAGTACATGATTCCTCTATGTTTACAAGAGCCAAATCAGGCCAAAAATGAAGTACTGTTGTCATATTTGGGCAGTAGCTGCCTAGATCTCACTTTTCAGTCTTGACAGAGTTCAAAAGCATCTCTGAGTCCTCTTGGGTAACAAATTATTTTCCACCCGCCAATCTCTCTTTCACAAGTGGGATGTGGCAAGTTTCTCATTGCTTTATCTCTACTTCCATGGAAAGTGCTTGGATGAACTACATTCCTTGGTTCTGCTAGTCATAACCTTCACGGCTATGCCACTTACATAGTAGTAAACCACCCACATTTCCTCTGTATTCCATCAGTAAGAAGTAAGTTCCACTCAAACAGCTTCTTCCCACAAACCACTGCTCTGTGGAACCAACTCTCAAGAGGATGTTTCTCCGATCACTACACTCTTAACCTGTTCAAGTCTAGGGTTAACTGTTATCTTCCCCTCCTATCTTTATAAACTGCTTCTTAATATAACACTCTACATTGAGTGGCCCCAGGGCTTTGTACAGGGTGAACCTTACTGTAAAAAAAAGACTGAAAAAAAAATTACAATGTGGCATATGAAAAAAAACAGTGGCAAAAATAGAAGATAAAAACAAAAATGGTAGAAAGCTGAATGAGTTTGGCTACGTTGCATCTTTAGATGCATATGATGCCAGAAATTTTAAATTTAAATCTAAAATCAAGACTCCTTTCATCTTCAGCATTTCTCCCAGTGTATACCTTTGTAATTACAGGCATCCCTCAATTAATGTTTTCGATTAGTGCACTAAAATTTTTATATACAAAAATTCAATTAGTGCATACATGCTCCTTGAATAGTACGGTAAAACATTCTTCAGTTTAACCATAGTAATTGAAAATTGATTTTTTATAGTTACCAATTAGCTGAACTAATCGAGAAATTTCTGTATTGCACATTCTCAGGCTAAGTAGAAAGATTATTTTGAAAAGTTGGTTCACTGTGTCATGCTAGACAATTTTTCTATCCAGAATCTATCTTACATATTTATAAGTCTACTATTCGTCCTTGCTTTGAATATCACTGCCACATCTGGTCTGGTGCTCCTGTTATGTATTTAGAGATTCTTGATAGAATCCAGAGAAGAATCTGCAGTGTTATTGGATCTGACAAGATCTAGTGTTCCCTGCAATTTAATCCAAAATTGGAAGAAGAGACAGATTCCTTTCTCAAGGCTATTTGTGTGAAGGTAAATGCAATGATCTCAACCAAGAATTGAACTCAGCTCCTTGATTTCTCATTTCAAGATGCTAACCATTATACTATCTACACATCCACCATGTTGTTTGCTATAGTTATTTAATTTTTAGATTTATTTACTTGCAGCTATCTATTAGTATTTAATTTTATATTTATTTACTTACATTTATTATTATATTTTCATTTATATTTATAGTACATTTTTATTGATAATTATAGATAGCTATTTTTAATTGAATTTTTCTTACTTATCTAATATATTTTTATATAGTAATATATTTACATGTTTATTATCATTTTGAGTTAAATTATATCAGCAAATAAATTATTCATTTTTTATTCATTTTTATTATCAATAAATAACAATGATGATGAATGCCTTGAATATAATAGCCATATTCTATCAGTAATGCTTACATTGATACTTGACCAATGACAATTCATTTCTTCCTGATTTTAATGTGCAATTAAGTATTGAAACTTAGTCTAACAGATTTTCAGACAGAACTTGTAAAATATGGTGTCTAAATTATGTAATATATGCACTAATTTGGGGATTTTAATTTGCTCATAACCCTGTGAATAATATGTACTTTTTTGGTACACAAAGACTAACATTCAACAAAAGGGAGCCATTATAAATTTTTCTGGAAATGGAAACAAAATGTACTATTTCTACATTAATTTCACTATAAATGATCTTTGTCTTTTGACATCAAGACCAAAGAAAAAGTTTTCTGAGACTAGGGAGCCAAAAAGTATTCTTTTTATCCTCTTCACTTTCCGAATGTTTTTTGCCTTCTGGTATCAAGACCAACACTCAGCAAAACTGGGCTATCATAAAGTTTTTTTTTTTCTTTGGGATTGAAGACCAAAATGTATTCTTACTATCCAATGAGAAAATCTTTAAAAAGCAATAAATATCAGATCAATATAATAGCCGTACTCTATCAATAATTGCTTACATTAATTCATCTTATAACAAAAAAAAGATAAAATATCAAATCAACTTTTAGAATTTATATCTGCTAGTATGCTACATGAATCTTTGCTGACAACAAGATCATTAAATTTCCAATCTAAATTGTTTTTCTATTTAAAATACTGAATTTATTAGAAAATGCATTCAGTTTAAATACAAGAGGAATCATAAGAATGATTTCATTAGTTTAAGTAAATTAGTTTCTCTTTTAATTAATTAATTTACTAAGGAGAAAATTTATAGAAAGTGTGCCAATTTCTGAGTCTTTCATGGTAAATTTGTGTTCAGGTTCTTGCATTTCACCTTTCTTCACAAAACTTCTTTTGTCGCAGTGTGGAATATTTAAAAACAGCAGCAATAAAAACAAAAGTATCAAGAAACTAAATGAAATCAGTTGAGCATTAGAGATATTGGATGCCACAAAGTTTTAAAATTTAAAATAAAATGTCCTTATATCTTCAGCATTTCCTCCCATTGCACAATTATAACTTAATATTTTCATTTATATCTTCTAACCTCCTTCTACATTTATAGAATTCCATCAGTGAGAACATTATTTTTGTCTGATGAAGTCTTTTTAAAGTATAAAATGTGTCACATAATTTTTTCTCCATTTTGTCTGTCTATTACCCAACACTGTTTTGACATAAAGAACTTTGTATATCACATTCTCCCGGTTCCTATATCATTTCATGTGCGAAATACGCAATAAAAATTGGCTTACTTCCTGTCTCTGTTTTTAGCATTTATTGTGTCATTATTTATAACATGATCAGATTGAATAATAATTTTGATGTATTTCTTTAATAAATCTTACTCATGAGATTATGTTACCTAAAAAGTAGCTTTTATTTTAATAAAAAAACAAAGTTTTATAGTGTAGTAGAAAAAAATCCAGTCCAAAATGACTGTTAGGTGAGAAGTAACAAAAAGGTACAACTTACATT